TTCCTGGCCAACACTCTAATCGATGAGCCACCCCAGTCACGGCAACAAGAGAGGTCTGAACAGCGTGGGTTCACTTATAAGCAGCCGCTCAAGACCCTTGTTTTTAAAGGGTAAGCTGTAGGATAGAGCGTCGGCCTGTGGACTGAGGGGGTCCCAGATTTGATTCTAGTCAAGGGCACATGCCCAGGTTGCTGGTTCAATCCCAGGTAGGGGGCATGCAGGAGGCAGCCAATCAATGATTCTCTCGTCATTGATATTTCTCTCCCCCCCTCTCTGAAATCAGTAAAAAATAAAAATTAAAAAAATTAAAAATATATATAATTTTTTTAAATGTCACCATTTTTTAAAATTAGATGTTTTTCTTGATTTTAGAGACAGAGGATGGGAGAAACATTGATAGCCTGCCTACTGCACGCCCCCAACTGGGGTCCCAGCAACAACCTGGGCATGTGCCCTGACTGGGAATCCAACCATTGACCTTTGGGTGCATGGGACAATGCTCAACCAACTGAGCCACACTACCCAGGGCAGTTCTGCTTCAATGCTAGGAACCGGTTCTGCCAGCAAAGGCATGATAATGCTATGGGGCAGCTTGGCCATCTTGTCAGATCCCAAGTTCAGCTTCTTGTCTAGTCTCTGGTCCGCTGGCCTCATGCATGAGTAGCATCCCCGTCTCCACTTCCAGGGGACGTTGCTGTGCTCTATGTAGGGAGGCCCCTCAGAAAAAGATAGTCCCTGATCTGAGTGGACACAGGTGGGCTTCCCTCAGACTTGGTCCCTCCAAAAGAAACTTATTACCCATCCCAAAAAAAAGCAGTAAAAAGGAAAAACGTGATATTCATAACGGCATTTCATAACCCTATCTCTAAAAATGGTAAAACACAGTTCCAAATCATAACAATGACCACTATTCCCCTCTTCATATTACTATCACCGATGGAGCTTTCTACAAGTTACGACTCACTTCATTACCTAGTTGTTGCCTTCTAGAAAACAAGCATTATGAATGGTCATGACAGGATAGTTTACCTCTTCATAGCAATCAATATAAAAACAGGTCTTGTTTCCTTGAATAGGAATCATAGCCTCTTAACAGAATAATACTTAACATTCTATTGCTTAAAACAGCTGTCGCCAACTGGTGTTCTGCAGACCACAGTCCAGGAGGTCTGAAAGGTTGGCGACCGCTGGCTTAAAAACACAGTTAATAACATGTGTGTGAAATGCGGGCAGAAGTCTTTGTTTGACAGAAAAGGCACAGTTTTAATTACATGCACTGAAACATACATGAAACTATTCTGAAGGATTACAGTCACCTAATAGTAACAGAAAATACCCAGTATTCCTGACAGGAAGAAGGTGCTTACTGTTCCATAGAAAGACTAGGTCAAGCCGAAACCGGTTTGGCTCAGTGGTAGAGCATCAGTCTGCAGACTGAAAGGTCCCAGGTTCGATTCCGGTCAAGGACATGTACCTTGGTTGTGGGCACATCCCCAGTACGGGGTGTGTAGGAGGCAGCTGATCGATGATTCTCCCTCATCGATGTTTCTAGCTCTCTATCTCTCTCCCTTCCTCCTCTCCATAGAGTATCAATAACATATATATATATATATATATATATATATATATATATATATAGAGAGAGAGAGAGAGAGAGAGAGAGAGAGAGAGAGAGAGAGAGAGAGACAGACAGACACCAGGTCAAGACAACCACTGTACACTGCAATAGAGAAACAAACTCCATGTTCTTTTCTTCAATGCACCGCTGTGAATGATGTGGGGAATTGACAAAACATATCCTCCAGCACCATTAATAGCATAAGATGCTTCCTATAAAAAGTAGATCTTACACAGTTATAACCTAGAGAAGAAAATAACCAGAAAATAGTCCCATGCATAAAGAGATGAACTAGTTTTTTTGGTGAACTAAAGACAGCGTACAAAAAAAAGCCACTCTGCCGAGACCAGTTTGGCTCAATGGATAGAGTGTCGGCTTGGGGACTAAAGGGTCCCGGGTTCGATTCCAGTCAAGGGCATAAACCTTGGTTGCGGGCATATCCCCAGTAGGGGGTGTGCAAGAGGCAGCTGATCGATGACTCTCTCTCATCGATGTTTCTAACTCCCTATCTCTCTCCCTTCCTCTCTGTACAAAATCAATAAAATAAAATTAAATTAAATTAAATTAAATTAAATTAAATTAAATTAAATTAAAAAAGCCACTCTGATGGATCTTTGATGTGAATCTTGTGAAGATATCACTGGAAAACTGTACTTCTAAGAAAATGGAAACCAAACAGATGGTAGTTGTTTTGAAGATACTCTTGACTGGAAGGGAAAAGAATAAAAAAAATGAAATGGGAAATGGTGTTCTATGTTAAAGCCTCTGTGTATCATTCTATCTCCATACTCATAGACCTGTGCATGACATTCGTGCACTGGGGCGGGGGGGGGGGGGGGGGGAGACCTCAGCCTGGCCTATGCCCTCTCGCAGTCTGGAACCCCTTGGGGGATGTCCACCTGCTGACTTAGGCCCATTCGTTCCCCAGAGGTGGGAGGCTCCCGTCACCACCACTGTCCTTGCCAGCTGTGAGCCTAGCTTCTGGCTGAAGTGTGCTCCCATTGTGGGAGCGCACTGACCACCAGGGGGCAGCTCCTGCATTGAGCGTCTGCCCCCTGGTGGTCAGTGCGCATCATAGTGACCAGTTGTTCCGCCATTTGGTCCATTTGCATATTAAGGTTTTATTATATAGGATATGATGGCTCCACAATTTAATGCCTATTTTGCTTATGCCTTCCATACTCTTGCACATGAGGCTACTGGTAAAGTCTAATATGGAATCTCAGAAGCTATAAATCCTGGAAAATTTAATTCCTAACATTACCTACAAAAAGATATATTCAAACATAGATTTTGGGTCATATCACAGGTCTCTCCTCTTACATCAAAATATATCTAACATACCAATCAGGAATAAGAGCACAAGATCAAATAACAATGTAACAATTCACATGGAAATACATCCTTTCATAAAATTGACACACATAAATATTTAGTCCCACTGTTTATTGCTAAGGAACATGAGGGAAAAGCTCTTATACCCATCACCTCTGTGTGTGCCCCCTCTCCCACTGGTCAAAAAAAGCATTGTCAGTAATAAAGGGATAATATATATATATATATATATATATATATATATATATATATATATATATATATATTTGATGGATATATATATATTATATATATTAAAATATATGTATAAATTTGATGGATATTCCTAATGTGTGTGTGTGTGTGTATTATACATTAGGATATATATATATTTATATATATATATTATTATTATTATATCCATCAAATTTCACAAGGCCAGTATAAAATCCAAATATCGCCCTAACCGGTTTGGCTCAGGATAGAGAGCCAGGGGGACTGAAGGGCCCCAGATTCGATTCTGGTCAAGGACATGTACCTTGGTTGTGGGCACATCCTCCATACGGGGTGTGCAGGAGGCAGCTGATCGATGTTTCTAACTCTCTATCCCTCTCCCTTCCTCTTTGTAAAAAGTCAATAAAATATATATTTTTTAAAATCCAAATACCAAAATAAAAAAAATATTGAATTGTAATTTTTAAAAGCCATCTGAACAATAAAACATAATTTAAATAAGAAACTATTTCCATTTTAGAAATACATTGGAATTCACCCAATTTGGATCTAACGGGCTTCAAAAAGTTAATAGATAATATTACTGACTTAATAAAAAAAAATCACGTTATTAATATGTAATATTGTAGAAAGTCATGTTCCAGAATTACCTCATTGTAACATTCATTTCTAAAAGAAATTACAGTTCACCCTTGAACAATATAGGTTTGAACTGCAAGTATCCACTCTGAAGCAGCAATTCAAACGCTTTTTTAAAAAGACGAACTGCCATTTCAATGTGTGGTTGGGAAACCATATGGAGGACTTGCTTAAGTTCTATAAGGATTTTGGAGTATGTGGGCAGTTGGTGCCCTTAAGCCTTGAGTTGTTCAAGGATCCACAATATTAGAAATCCACATCCTAATAACACACGTAAAGAAACTTGGTAAACAAAAATATTTACAATTTTCAAAACAACTCTTTAACCTTGAACATTTTCCAGAACATTATACATAAATTAATTTACATCAAGCCTTATCGGGTTATTTACATTTCTATTCCTGTCAGTGAGAGGTTTCGAATATAAACATGTGGGTCCATCCCAGCCAGTGTAACTGTGTTTGAGCATCAACCTGTGAACCAGGAGATCATAGTTTGATTCCCAGTTAGGGCATATGCCCGGATTGCAGGCTGGACCCCCAATGTGGGACATGCAGGAGGCAGCCGATCAATGATTCTCTCTCATCATTGATGTTTCTGTCTCTCTCTCTCTCCCTTCCCCTCTGAAATAAATAAAAATATATTTTAAAAATATATAGAGACCAATGAAACCTTTCTCACACTCTTTGCCTTCATGGTTTTATCCAATGAGTCATCTAATGCCTCCAGAAAGAAGAGGAATAACTGGTCTTTCCCACACTATTTACATTCATTAGGATTTTATATATACATATATATATATATATATATATATATATATATACTTATACATACACATATATATATTTTTAATTGATTTCAGAGAGGGAGAGAGAAGAAATAGAAATGTCAATGATGAAAGAGAATAATTGATTGGCTGCCTTCTACACATCCCCTACTGGGGACCAAGCTGGCAACCCGGGCATATGCCCTTGGCCAGAATTTAACCTGGGACCCTTCAGTCCACAGGCTGACTATCTATTGAGCCAAATCAGCTAGGGCTACATTCACTAGGTTTTATTCGTGAATCCTCTTATGCCTTCGTAAAGATGAGCCATCAACAAATGCTTTCCCACATTCTTCACATTTATAGGGTTTGTTTCCATTGTGCCTTTTCACGTGTAACTGAAGATTTTTGTTACAATTGAAGGCTTTTCTACATTCCTTACACTTAAAGGGTTTCTCTCCGGTATGATTTCTTTCGTGTGTTTGTAAGTTATTGTGATCTTTATAGGTTTTTCCACATTGCTTACATTCATAGGGTTTCTCTCCAGTGTGAGTTCTTTCATGTCTTTGTAACAAACTAAGGCAAGTGAATGCCTTCCCACATTCCTTACATTGGTAAGGTGTGTTTCCAGTGTGCATTTTCATGTGTCCCTTGAGGGAGCTGGGATAGCTATAGGCTTTCCCACAGTGTTGGCATTCGTAGGACTTCTCTCCAGTGTGAAACTTCTTGTGTATTTCTAAGGAGCTGTAGTATCTGAATGCTCTTCCACAGTCCTTACATTCGTAGGGTTTTTCTCCTGTGTGAGTCATCTTGTGTGGTTCTAAGGACCTGAAATATTTGAAGGACTTTCCACATATCCTACATTCATATGGTTTCTCTTCGGTGTGGGTTCTCTCGTGTCTTCGAAGACAACTAGGGTACATGAACGCCTTGCTACACTTTTCACATTGATAGGTCTTCACGCCAGTGTGGTACCTCTCGTGATTTCGATAGGACCTGACGAGAGTGAATACTTTCCCACATTCCTTACACTGATAAGGAGTATTTCCCGTGTGCATTTTCATGTGTCCTTTAAGGGAGCTGCGATAACTGAAAGCTCTCCCACAGTGTTTACACTCATAGGACTTCTCTCCAGTGTGAAACCTTTGGTGTATTTCTAAGGAGCTGGAATGTCTGAATGCTCTTCCACATTCCTTACACGCATAGGGTTTCCCTGCTGTGTGAGTCATTCTGTGCGGTTCTAAGGATTTGAAATATTTGAAGGTCTTCCCGCATATCCTACACTCATACGGTTTCTCTGCACTGTGAGTCCTTCCATGTACGTGGAGTTGGCTGGGATGCCTGAATGTTTTACTACATTTTTCACATTGATAGGCCTTTTCTCCAGAGTGGGTCCTGTCACCTGCTTGAAGGGAAGCTGAGGAATTAAAGGGTTTCATACACACCTTACCATGATAAGGAGCGTCAGCACTATGTTTGGTCATGTGTTTTTGAAGGATTTTGAGCCACATAAAGGTTTTCCCACATTCCTTACACTTATAGGGTTTCTCTCCATAGTGAGTTCTTTCATGATTTTCAAAGCACTGGAGATAACTAAAGGCTTTCCCACATACGTTACATTTATATGGCTTCGCTCCACATCCCTGATACCCAGAGAAGTTTTGTCCAGTGTGACAGCCGGTGTGACCACCCTGGGATGAGTGATCCGTGAAGGCTTTGTCAAACATTGCGCATTCACACGGTGTTCCTCTGGGAAGCGGTTTCTTCTTCAGAATGCAATCAGGAACGAGGCTGATGTTTTCCCCACATGGACTGACCGTTTTCCCTTCACAGATTCTCTCCAACATATGACTTCTGTAAAAAACAAGAAGCCCATCATGAATGAATTTTTATTAGAGCAGCGGTTCTCAATCTGTGGGTGGCGACCCCTTTGGGGGTCGAACGATCCTTTCACAAGGGTCGCCTAAGACCAGCAGAAAACACAGATATTTGCATTATGATTCATAACAGTAGCAAAATTACAGTGATGAAGTAGCAATGAAAACAATTTTATGGTTGGGGTCACCACAACATGACGAACTGTGTTAAAGGGTCATGGCATTAGGAAGGCTGAAAACCACTGCATTAGAGACTTTGTACTGATCAGTAAAATATTTGAAGTATATTAGTATGACTTATACTGAAAGTGTAGGTTTTATGTTTTGCCTAAGTTGTTTAACATTTAATATACTGAAGGCTCTGCCAGACAAATTTACCCTTGCTATTAATGAAAAAGTGATATTCATATACAGGGCTTAATAATGCTGTTTCCTAATCTACTAGTATTTTGCAAACACTGATCATTTATATCATATATAAGAAAGCACGGGGGCTGGGGGGAGGGGAGGCAATTTGGTGAACATCTAAAAGCTGTTGCTTTGGTTGCTTCTTTTTAAAATTTCAATGGTTTTCTACTTGAGATAATTTCAATGGTTTTCTGCTTTCTCTTGTGTGACTCACCTTCGTTTTCTCTTCTGGTTTTTGTACTGATCTTTGATGTCATGATCTTCCCATTTGTTACCTAAAGAAGCAGACCCAGAAAAATAATTCCAAAGTATTAGAAACTATTTAAAAATGAATACATCCTATTTCTATGATAAGCTGTGACTATTTGTCAATGTCATCCTGTCCCAAATGACACATCTTAGAAAATGCTGATGGGTAAAAAACATTTGTGCCTGGCTGGTGTGGCTCAATGGTTAAACATCAACCTACACTGAGTGGCCAGATTATTATGATCTCTAAACGCATAATAATCTAACCCCTCCCCCCCTTCTCCATAGCCTGGTGCATGAATTCATGCATGGGTAGGGTCCAGCTAGCCTGGCCAGGGGAGTAGGGGATATGGGCAGTTGGGCAGCCTGCCTGTTGGTCAAATTCCTGATTGAGGGGACAATTTGCATATTAGCCTTTTATTATATAGGATATATTGTGAGTGGCCAGATTATTATGCATTCAAAGATCATAATAATCTGGCCACTCAGTGTATGAACCAGGAGGTTATGGTTCGATTCCCAGTTAGAGCACATGCCTGGGTTTCAGGCTCAAACCCCAGTGTAGGGCCTGTAGGAGAGAAACCACTGATGTTTCTCTCTCTCTCTCTCCCTCTTCCTCCCTCTCTGAAAAACAAAGAAACTTGAGCTCTAATTGAGCAAGTGAAAGGAACTCATCGTCCTTACCTATGGAGGCCAGGTTCCTGAAGGTTTCCCTCATCACATCTCTGTAGAGTTTCTTCTGTGAAGACTTCAGTAAGGCCCACTCCTCCAGAGTGAAGTTCACAGCCACGTCCTCAAAGGTCACCGAGTCCTAAAACAATCCATTTATGTACAGAGTAAAGTTTGTGAAGTTGACAGCCTGAAAACCTAGAATCCACTTATAAGAAGGTTACATATGATTCTATCATCTCCTATCATTTATTTTATGACTTGATCAAAGAAACGTCCTTTCTAAAAGCTTTTTTTATTACAGTTTTCAATTCTTGAAGGCCCTTTTTATTTTATTTTTTTAAAATATATTTTATTGATTTTGTACAGCGAGGAAGGGAGAGAGAAAAAGAGTTAGAAACATCGATGAGAGAGAGTCATCGATCAGCTGCCTCTTGCACACCCCCTACTGGGGATATGCCCGCAACCAAGGTACATGCCCTTGACCGGAATCGAACCCGGGACCCTTCAGTCCCCAAGCCGACGCTCTATCCACTGAGCCAAACCGGTTTCGGCTTGAAGGCCCTTTTTAATTAACAACATTAACTAACATTACTAAGTGGCAAAGACCATAAAGTCAAATTTTGTAAAGCCAATTTGGAAGTGGTGAAGTCTTAATTTAATTAATTTCTACAAATGATTCTTGGGTGAGAGTTTTCCTCATGACCATGGATATTTTTGGAGAATGGGTGCTATGACCTTGAGTCAAGGCAGACTTTTCATTTTTACGTGAAGTATATCCCTTTCTCCTTTATATTATTTCAGCAATTCCCCTACGGTCAGGGGGTACCTTGCTTTAATTTATTGAGATCCCAGGTATAACTGTAACTTGAAACCAAATTACTTGAGAATTGCATGAAAGGTTGCATATCACTGCATTACAGGTAATGGTTAACAATCTGAAATTATTTCCAGAGATTCTCAAAGTCCAAAGAGTGACCTTTAAATTCTTTTTTTTTTTTATTTCCGTATATTTTGAATTTCCAGGTAAGTCAAATTCTGAACCATTTTCAATGCCCTTTTCCTTTTGTTCTTTTGCTCAAGCCTTTACCTATTTTATATCTTAGGTCACTATAAAAATATCAACAACAACAAAAAAAAAATCAGGGGATGCTGAAACCGGTTTGGCTCAGTGGATAGAGTGTCGGCCTGCGGACTGAAGGGTCACAGGTTCGATTCTGGTCAAGGGCATGTACCTTGGTTGCAGGCACATCCCCAGTAGGGATTGTGCAAGAGGCAGCTGATCGATGTTTCTCTCTCATTGATGTTTCTCTCTATCCTTCCCTCTCCCTTCCTCGCTGTAAAAAAATCAATAAAATATATTAAATATATATATATATATATATATATATATATATATATATATATATATATATATATATATCTCAGAGGAATGAAAGTGCAGTCTCTCTAGCATGATACCCATTAAACTTTCCCTTCAGAGGGCCTCAGAGCAGTGCTATCAGGATTAGAGGCCTCGCCTAGGCAATGATTGCTATATAGAATTTAAGGACCTGAGACTTGAGTCCAGTGTGAGTTAGTCCCTTTGCTATGGCACAGACAGGCTATGACTGTGGTCCCCACTAACCAGGGGGTCAGAATCTCTGTTGCAGGAGATGCAGAGCCAGCAGCAGCAGAGGTACTGAAGGGTCCTGGTGTTAGGAGAGTGAAGTGACAAGACATGAGACAGACAGCTGCCGTGGGTGTCAGAAAAGCAATGGACAAGAAGGCAACTGGAACTGGCAATCACCAAGACTGCCCTGAGGTTTGAGAAGGCTAAATAAATATGATCCCCAGTCACCTGCCTCCTAGTCTTAACCGGTGGTGGGAGAACAGTCTCAGAACTGTTTGTCTTCATTGGCCATTGAAGATTAAAGTAACAGACTAGTTAATGATTACATCGTAAAACCTTCAGAAAGCAAGGAGCGTTTTGTGAAATATTTGGGGTGTTTTTCCCCTGCAGCAATTTTTAGATTTTTGGTTTTGAAAAATTATTACTTTTTGGCAGCAAGAGAAAAGCAGCTAAATATAAAGTTTAAATACCCATATGAAATATCAGCCAATTTTTCAGGAGAAACTTTGCAGTCCAGAAAATAATAGCATGACATATTTAAAAGGGTAAAAGGAGCCCTAACTCGTTTGGCCCAGTGGATAGAGCATCAGCCTGTGGACTGAAGGGTCCTGAGTTCAATTCTGGTCAAGGGCACCTGCCCGGGGCTGCAATCCCCAGTAGGGGGTGTGCAAGAGGCAGCCAATCAATGATTCTCTCCCCTCACTGATATATCTCTCTCTCTCTCTCCCTCTCCTTTCCTCTCTGAAATCAATAAAAAATATATATTTTAACAAAAAGGTAAAAGGAAAAACACAATCAAACAAGTATACTTCACCCAAGAAGGTAATCATTCAGAATTAAAGGAGAAATAAAAAAAAATTTCCCAGTTAGAAAAAAAAAAAAAAAAACACCTCACTAGTAAAAGTAAATAAACATTTAGTAAAAGTAGTAGATCAGCTAATTGCAAAACTACTATGATGGTTAAAGACAATAGTAGTAAAATCAGGATTATATAAAATAATTAAGAAACAACGGACAAAAAACATAAAACATGCCATTATAAATGTAAGATGTAGAGAGAGTGTAATAAGTGTAGTATTTTTAGAATGATTCAACTGAGGCAGCCATTAACTTAAAATGGGCATTAGTCTTTGTAGGTAGCATATGAATATGTCTTTTTTGGGCAACTTTAAACATAAATTGTTATAAATGAAGCTCATGGTAACTTTAAACATAAGTTGTTATAAATGAAGCTCATGGTAACCACAACCAAACATAAGTTGTTATAAATGAAGCTCATGGTAACCACAACCAAAAAATATATAATAGACACAAAAAAATAAAAGAGAAATGTATCCAAATATAATATTACAGAAATTTACCAATACCAAAAATAAAAAAGTCAAAAATGAAATACAAAAAGAACAACTACAAGAACAAAAAAAATCAGTTAATACAATGGCAATAAGTACACGTGCCTAACAATAATTACTTAAAATGGAAATTGAACAAAATGCTCCAATAAAGATTTAGGGTGACTAAAGGGATAGTAAAAAAAAACAAGACATGCCGAAACCGGTTTGGCTCAATGGATAGAGCGTCGGCTTGGGGACTGAAAGGTCCCAGATTCGATTCTGGTCAAGGGCATGTACCTTGGTTGCAGGCATATCCCCAGTAGAGGGTGTGCAAGAGGCAGCTGATCGATGACTCTCTCTCATCGATGTTTCTAACTCTATCTCTCTCCCTTCCTCTCTGTACAAAAATCAATAAAATATATATTTTTTTAAAAAGACATATGCTCCCTACAAAGACTAATTTCAGACATAAAGATATAGACTAAAATGTAGGATGGAAAAGGTATGTCATACAAATGAAAATGAAAAGAAAGCTAACGTAGCAAGACAAAAAAAGACTTTAAAACCATAACAAGAGACAAAAGACATTACATAAAGATAAAAAGATCAAACATATAACACTGTACAAATCTATGCACCCAACAACCTATATATAATAAAGAAGTAATATGCAAATTGACCCTCACACCCTTGTACAAGATGGCCGCCCCCATGTGGTCAAAGATGGCCACCACAAGATAGCCGGCAGGGGAGTGCAGTTGTGGGTGATCAGACCAGCAGAGAAGGGCAATTAGGGGTGACCAGTCCAGCAGGGAGGGCACTTAGGGGTGACCGGGCCAGCAGGGGAGGGCAGTTGGGAGCAACCAGGCCTGTAGGGGAGGGCAGTTGGGGAAGACCAAGCTGGCAGTTGGGGATGACCAGGCCAGTGGGGGAGGGCAGTTAGGGGCAACCAGGCCAGCAGGGGAGGGCAGTTGGGGGCAACCGGGTCGGCAGGGGAGGTCAGTTGGGGATGACCGGGCCAGCAGGGGAGGGCAATTGGGGGCAATCATGCCGGCAGGGGAGCAGTTATAATAGGTGTGGGTCAGGGGAATGGTTAGGTGATGATTAGGCTGGCAGGCAGGTGAGCGCTTGGGAGCCAGCAGTCCCGGACTGTGAGAGGGATGTCTGATGTGAGATTGGGCCTAAATCGGCAGTTAGACATCCCTCGAGGGGTCCCAGATTGCAGAGGGTGCAGGCTGGGCTGAGGGACAACCCCCACTCCCCCAGTGCATCAATTCTGTGCACTGGGCTTCTAGTAGTAGCACCTAAATATAAAGCAAAAATTAATAGATATAATAGAAGATATAGATACTATAATAATAATAATAGGAGGGGACTTCCAATACCCCATTTAAATCAATGGATAAATCATCCAGACACAAAATAAAAAAAATAAAAAAAACTTGGCTCAAAATGACATTTTATAAGGTGGATTTTTTTTTAATATATTTTATTGATTTTTGTACAGAGAGGAAGGGAGAGAGATAGTTAGAAACATCAATGAGAGAGAGTCATCGATCAGCTGCCTCTTGCACACCCCCTACTGGGGATATGCCCGCAACCAAGGTACATGCCCTTGACCTGAATCGAACCCGGGCCCTTCAGTCCCCAAGCCGACGCTCTATCCATTGAGCCAAACCGGTCCCGGCTATACAGGTGGATTTAATATATACTGCAGAATATCCCACTTATAGACAGCAGAACACACATTCAAGTCCAATGCACATGAAACATTCTACAAATTAGATCACATTAGTCCACAAAACTAGTCTCAATAAATTTAATAAAACTAAAATCATATCAAGCATTTTTTCTGGCCACACATTATAAAATTAGAAATCAATTACAAGAAGAAGAAAATAAAACCTAGAGAAAGCACAAATATGTGAAGGCAAAAAAACATGCTACTAAGAATACATAAAAATGTATATTAAGACAAATGAAATGGAAATACAATATTCCAAAATCTATGAGACAAAGCTAATGTAGTTCTAAAAGGCAAGTTGATAGTTATAAAGGCCCTCAAAAACAAGGAAAATTTCAAACAATCTAAATAACAAAGAATTACAAAAAGGAACAACTAAAGCCCACTGTAGTGGAAGGAAGAAAATAGTAAAGATGAGAGCAGAAATCAAGACTAAAAAAAAAAAAAAAAAA